ACACACACACACATATATATATATATATATATATATATATATATATATAAACAAAATAATCCTCAGTTACAGTGGCAGCTCAAGTAACTCCATATGAAACAGAAGAAACACTGATACCTGTTGTGTGTTCACTACCACAGACATGTGCAGACTTTCCAGTCGCTGTACTAACTGAGTAATGTAGACGTCCTGTGAACACAGAATATTCTAAAAAGAGTGTCAATGGACAAAGGATATGTCATCTAAAGTTACCTATGTGGACACACTGTCTAGTTATATGTAAGACGTCTATTAAAAACATTTCACTTGCAGAGATAAAAAATTTTTTTTATTAATATTTGAAACCTTTTGTTGGCAAAGACAAAGTAGTGAAGGTTCAAAGTTAAAAAAAAGATATTTGCAAAACCCCAATTGTTGACATGCAATTGGACTATGGTAATATATATAAAAAGGTTATGTTTCTTTTGGGTCTCATATAATTGGTCATTTGCATAAGAACAAATTCCTTACCTTATGACACTCTGCTGACCAAGAGGTACCTGGGATGAAACAAGTTATCAAGATAAAACATCCCTTCATGTCTGGAATGAAACTATGAACAGTGTATCATTAGAAATGAAGAAGACATTCGCTCACCTTCAAGTGGTGGTGTGAGATCTGTCCTAGACTTGCTCTGGACCCAACAGGTACACTACGCATAAGCCAAATTCACATGACAGGTACAGATAGACCTCTAGTCAGTGATGCACTACTAAAACGCTCATATTTATTTTCATAATACTCTATGAAGACCCCATTCAAAACTTGAATTGACCTCAAAGTCTCTCACGGACACTTTCAGAACACTTGGCAGGTAAGCGATGATGTCACGCTTATTTGCATACTGAAATGTGATTGGTTTTTATGTATTCTTCTATTTACATATTAAATTGTGATTGTTTTCTTCCTTATTCAACAGTTTCTATTTCATATTACTGCCACTTACAGTAGGTGCGCTGCAAGCCACTCCATGCGACTTCCAGCTGATTTCATCCTTCGTGCTTTCCATAGAAAAATCATAGATCCTTTCGACTAAATAAGAACATGTAGAATGTTCTTCCAGGTGCTCTTCTTTCTTCGTCGTCTAAGTTCCCGACGGTCGCTGAGTTTTGATGAGCGAACATGTTGTCAAATGTAATCATATCTGTCAAAAATGAAAGCGCATGCGACGTCCTCGTCCAACACAAATAACTGCACGCTGAAACCATGGCAACCCTTCACGCCGCCCGCTCTGCCGTCGTAAGCCTCCATCCATTCATTCCTGAGCAGTCATCTGTGGAGCTGCTATGTAGGCTACATCCAGCAGCAACTGTGAGTGAATGGTATGGGGGGAAATGAGGTTTGTTTAAAAACAAAAAAAATGCATTGAATCCATTTTTGTGGCTTTTATTCCACGTGTATAGTATTAGCTGCAGTGTTCGAACTATACCGTGGTCTTTGGGGGAGCCCACTTGTTGTTGTTTTTTTATATAGGGGGGGGGGGGGGGTCAGGGCCTTCGAATTGATATGTGATACAACAGTCAGCCATCCACAAATATTCTATAAACAAATCATCAGGCTGTCTTTGAGTTCACATGAACCAAAAGAGGGCTTACAATGACTTACAAAGATACATGACAGCTACAAGTGTATGTACTATTTGCTTTATGCAAGCACTATATAGGATGAATCACTATACTGGATTTACCCTATTATACTTTATCGATACGAATTGATAGGTGAAACAACAAACAGCCACCCGCAAATAATCAATAAACCAAGCATCAGGCTGTCTTTGAGTTCACATGAACAACGGTTAAAGTTACTCGTCGTCAGGCTAAAGAAGAATGCCATAATTCCTATGTTCAGTTAGACCTAAGACATCGAGAGTCACACAGACCTATAACAACCCAGCCACAACACATAATTGCGAATAACATGCCTTACCTTAACACAGAATCGACCACAGAGTCCAACGTTTATATTTTTTCTACGAATCTTTTGAGTTAACATGTACTAAACATGAGTGGAATTTGCACCGCAGCGCCCCCCACACCTTGATGCTCATGACAAGAATAGCATGTATAGTTATCTTTATTGAAGTGAATTAGGTTTAAATCTCCGTCATGCTTGAATGAATGTTATTTTTGCAATTTTACACATGATCACTATTACACAAAACTGAAATTGCACGTCAAAATAACACATTGTCAATATTTTTTGAGACCCCCCAAAATTTCACAAATCACGTTTTCAGGGGAGCCCATGTCTTATTAAGGGGAGCCGAGCTCCCCCGTAGTTCGCACCCTGGTTAGCTGTATGTATCACCTGTGTGCTTGGATAATTCTAAACACTGAAAGACGACTCAGTATAGGCCTATTACACTTTTTGAACTTTAAAAAAAAAAAAACATGTTTAACATTTTAAACATGTTTAATGCTTGAAAAAATGTGCATGTTCGTCACTAGCGGGAGTCTTATAGACAAAAAAAGGGTTTTAAAACCAAAATAAGTTTTTAGATTTGATACGTCACAGCCTGCATGTAGTGTTTCTACTTTATTATACGTTTTAATTTTATTTATTTAAATTTTTTATTTTACTTTACGGATATGTTTAACCGCCGATTTATCGGTGATTGACAAGCCAGCCTCAGTCACATGTACCTGCACAGACTGGAAAGAACATACGTTGGCTTGTCTGCCACTTCCTGTCGTGAGTAGAGCATGCAGACAGATTTAAGGTGTGTTTGTGCTTTGTGGTTATTTGACCCTGTCTGCACTGCACAAATGTATTCAAAAGCAAAGAAACTGCAATTCCTTTTACATTTTAAATCATTAAAAAATAAATTAATAATACAAATAAACCATAATTTAAACAAAAAGCCATGACTACATTTTATTCAGCAGTGTTTGTTTAAATCAGTAGATAAGATGTATAAAACAACACATCATCAATTTGCATTCTAATAAACTGATATAATGTGGAAATTTATGTGATTTTCAGTGCCACATCCTGTATGTCCATTGAATTCAAGGTACTTTTGAGTGTATGGTGTGTGTGCAAGCACGTGTCTGTTTTTTAGTGAGTCTATATGTGTCTCCCCACAAGACCCACAGCAAGTAAACCAGACAGATAGTGTACGTCATAGTCAACGGTTCTAGCCACAGTACGCACTTGTGGCCGTCTGCCAGATTCGAATGACAAGCATCACATTAAAAGTTGTTTGGAGACATGGTGAGAAAGAAAGTGTGAAATGAAATCTTGCTTACTGGAAAATAAGTCTCAAAGGCACATGTTATTTAGTGACTTATTTAGCCTTAAAGTAAGCGTATTAGTACCCTTAAGACACCATTTAGGGGTAGATAAGGACAAAGATTAATTTTATGGGTACTGCCCCAGTGACAAACTGTTCTGTGTGCAAAAGTTACAGATTTTCTGATGCTGTACCTAATGATAACAATGCATAATGGAGAAAATGTGTTGATGCATTATGAAAGAACCATTAGGAAGCCTGTAAATCAGGTTTTATTGGCATTTTGTATTTAATATACTGTTTGAAGTTAGCAGCAAATACTTATATACATTTTTTTTTTGGTGTGAATCAAAAACAAAACAGACACAAATACCCTGAATGTACACAACTGGCTTTAAATCATGAATAAAATATTCACAGCTATACTTTTGCAGCAACGAAAAGACAAAAAATATCTTCATACAGTAACAATTATAAACTTTCATAATTTTTTTTTTGGTTGGTTTTTTTTTTGTTTTTTTGGAAGAAAAACACTTTTAGAAGAAATTCAGTGCTCATACAACATTTATATGAACTGAAAATATTAATGCTGAACAAGAGATGGAAAATGTTGTAACAGTTAAATGGGCAAAACAGTAACCATGCACTCTCCCTGCCACAACACTGTTCATACAGTTCACAATTATTTGAACAGGATTTGACATTCATTTGAATGGCCCAGTCAAACAAAGAGAACACTTGTTATGCAATATTCAAGGCTGCAGCCATCTCATTGTGGTGAGCAGGTTACTTCACCCTCCACCAGACAGCATGTTTCCAAGCATGCAAAGTCCTCCTATGGAACCTCAAACTTCTGCTTTGAAACCCAGATGCTAAGCACCTGCAGCAAAACAGAAGCCTTTGCTAAGCAAGCCTCACTGACAGTGTTCTGACACCAATCACAATGAGAGCGCATTGGTGGTTTCTGTGTCCGACATAACAGAGGGGCGGTGAGAGCTTCCCTGCAGCAAGTTCGAGCTCTTGAGGGTTGGAATACAGCCAAGCTTTTGGAAAAGTCGAAAGACATCTTTTCGGAAACGCACTCCGACGAAGGCATAAAGGAACGGATTTAGGCAGCTGTGCATGTAAGCGAGACTCTTCATAACCTGGCCGGCAATGTCAACGCGCTGGACGTCTTCGCAGTTTGTGACAGTTGTATTGGCTGCCTGAGTGGCTTCGAAGACCAACATGCTGTTGTACGGAAGCTGAGAGACAACAAACGCGGCCACAACTGCCAGGATGACCCGCAGGGCCTTGTGCTTCTCAAAGTTCCTCGTCTTCAGCAAAGTGCGGATGATGTTGGTATAGCAGAAGATCATCACTATGAGAGGGATGCAGAAGCCCATGCAGATCTGGAGAGCCAGGACCAGTATTTTTGTATGATTGTTTTCATTGTTCCAGTAGACCATCATACAAAAGTGATTGCCCTGATCATCCTCTTTCGAACGAGCGAAGAGAAACTCTGGGATGGACATCACGGCCGCCAGGAGCCAGACTAACACACAGATGAGTTTGCTGTACAGGAGACGATCCCTCTTGGAGTTCTGCGCTTTGGTTGTCTGGACAATCACTATGTAGCGGTCGACGCTGATGCAGGTAAGTAGAAACATGCTGCTGAAGAAGTTGATCTTGTAAATGGCAGAGACGATTTTGCAGAGGCCCGAGCCAAAGGTCCAACCGTAGATGGAGTCGGCAGCCCAGAATGGCAGAGTGCAGAGGAAGAACAAATCGGCCAAAGCCAGGTTCAGTAGATAAACGTCCGTCATCGCCTTCAGGCGGTTTTTGAAGTGTGTGTATATCCAGACCACCAGAGTGTTGCCAATGGCTCCCAGAATCACAATTATCCAATAGAAAGCAGGCTCATAGTACCTTCGAAACTCTCGCACTGCTGCTCTGTCACATATTTCCCCGCCTTCATAATCACCCATAGTTGTGGAAGAATCTTCATAATCCTGTTAAATTTAGCAAAGCATGTCTTACTGAGCTGTTATCTTATTAACCCTGATACTGTGCATTTAAACTGCAATCATGTTGATGTTAAAGATGCATACAAACATTATAATGAGACAGCATGCACTTAATGTAAATATTCAGATATCACTTACATATTCTGAAGTCAACAGGGTCGCAGACTCGGTTATGTTCATTGTTGATCTTTTCTGTTCTTAAATAAGTAAAAAAATAAAGAAAGATATATTAAAAATACTCATATTATCAAAGATTCACTTTTTTCATGGCAGAGTACACTAAATATTATATTCCCAAATATCCACAACCAAAAACAGTGCATATCAATAATCAGACTTTTGAATTTGTTCTGTTTAAATGAAATTAAACACTATCAATTCTCAATTCATTATCATTATCAGTTAATGTTCCTTTAATGTTACAGAAAGCCAGTTAAAGCCAGTACTTACTCTGGTTTTTTGAGAAAAATTGGGACTAGTAATACAGATGAGCTGCTGTGTGCTGTCTTCCTGATCGCTAAGATCACTTTCACGTTGTTTTGGCGCCGTCTGGAAAATATCTGTTTTGCAGAAGCTTTTAAGGTCTTGAGGTTTAACCACAGTGACGCACGCACAAGAGCATGAACTCTTTTAACACTTTTTTTCCCCCCTCCATCATAGGCCCACCTCTAAACACAACAGCAGAAATGTTTGTTTACGAGCCCTTTTTATTCATAGCACAACGTAAAAGAGGAAACTATATTGTTTTTAATTTATGTTTGTGCCTCAAAATCATAATTACTGAGTTTTAGATGTGATGCACTTGTTCACACACCTGTGTGAAAACACTCCTCAATATCATTACACCATCATGCAGCTTTATCTGTGGTGATACATAATTGTACGCACAGGACTAAAATGTGCTTCGTGCTACTCAAAAAAAGAAAGAAAAGGAAGAAGTTAAGTAGCTCCTCCACCAGCACCTTAACCACATTTTCTGACATGAGAGATTGTGTATGCAGAGTGAATGTCTTATGCATGCCTTATGTAGACTGTCTTCACTCATTTCTGATGTTATACATCTAAAT